CACTCATTTGATTATACATTAGATCGCTATCCAAAGGATTGGTAGAGATGGCTAGGGATTTACATCTACTTTCAAAATATGAAGATTTGCTATTTTAAGGATATTCAAAGGAATATGCCACAGGTTTCAAGGTAAGGTTATTAATTCTAAAAGAATCATTTCAAAAGTAATTTGCACAACACTCATTACAATGTACACAAGGGCGGTTTAAAGAGTTCGTGGGCAAAACTCTATTATTTTTTTATTTCATTTTTGTACGAAGTTTTCGAAGACCCCTACGATATTTATTTGAGGACACTTGTTAAATCTTCCACAGTCATTTATAGCAATACTTCCTGTATACAAAGTATATTAGGAATTAGACTTTTAATTAAAAATTATCTGACATAAAATGCTATAGACTCATACAACAATTAAATATGAGGTAATAAATTTGGGATTTTAGCACAATTGTATAAAAAGTAATCATCTGAAAACATAAAAGAAAAAAATCATGACAAGCTTATATTGCATTTTGAAAAAGAAAAGAATCTCAAATATCAGGAATAATTAAATAATTCAAAGCATCAAAAGAAAAAAACATACATTTTTAGAAAAAAACTGCACTAACTTTCATGGAAATAAAGAATCTATTAACTTATTTATTACTAAGAATTATTAAGAATAATTCCTTAAAGGCTACTAAAACATGTATTAAAGGCTATTTGACACAAAGAGATCACAATTGGAGAACAAATTAAAGCAAGATATCATTTTTGAACTATGTAGTGTTATTTAGTTTGTAGGGCAATCTTTTAATTTAAAATCTTACCTACTTTAAGTACATCTTGAGTCTGGCAACCAAGGTCCTTCAGGATAGAGCAGCAACCTAATTTTCTGCCATTCCCTCTTCATAGTCTCCTACACGTATTCTGGATTCTGTTACAAAATGAACTGTTTCCCAAACATAGCTCATCCTTTCCTAGTTTTCTACCCTGGGGCACATGTTTCCGATTGCCTAGAGAATTCAGTTGTTGTAGCGATTTAGAGGAAAAAATTGTAGTGTCTAGATTTGAATCTGGTACCACCCTTATTAACATGGGATATTGGCCAAGTCATTTAATATATCAGTGCCTCAGTTTCCTCACCTGTAAAAAGAAATCTAAAAAGAGGACATACCAACAAGGGTTTGCTGGTCCAAGGTTAAAGTGGAAAAATGGACCAAAAATACATCTACAGCAAATTCATTTATTCAAGATATTTAGAACATATATTTTCTAAACCCTTTTGTTTTTCATCCTCGCACTCTTTTTGACTAGGCCACAATGTTGACAATGTCAACACTTTTCAAACAGGCTCATTTTTTCGCATCAACCTTAGTCCTTGGGGCTTTCATAGATAGTGGTGTGTGTGGGAGATTTATTTTAGTACTTGGCCGCATTGTACTAAAGAGATAGGTCCTCCAGAATGAGCTTAATACTGCAACAGTGGAAACTAGTTGGAGATTTAAAAAATTCAACTGGAATGTCTCCAAACCCATGGCACTGAAACAGTATTAGCAACCGCTGAATCTAGTCAGAGGCAAGTTTGGTGAGGGCTGGCATCATGTTTTCTTTCTTATTTGCTTTCATCTACAATGGCAGTAATTGTGACTATTTGATTCTAACTAATTATTTTTTAAAGAATTGTTATTGAAATCAGGATAATAAGGAATTGCTATGCAGTATCTTTTGGGAACTTAAATACCTTAGGTAAAAACATATCCCTAAGCAAAGCATGGGAGCCCTGGTGGCTAATCGTTATGTATTGGGCTGCTAATTGCAAGGTCACCCATTTGAAACCACTGGGTGCTCCAGGGGAGATGGCATTCTTCTTTCACAGTTCTTCCCTGACCTATAGGGTCACTGAATCGGAATCACTTTATGGCAGTGAGTGAGTAAACTATAATGAGATCGTGTGGTGCCGTTGGGTAAATGTTGCACTGCCAGCTGCCAGGTCTATGGTTGAAAGTCACCAGCTGCTCCAAGGGAGACAAATGAGGCTATCTGCTCCTGTAAAGATTTATAATCTCTGAAACCCCATATAGCGTCTCCATGGGAGTTAGAATTGATTTGGTGGTAGTGGGATACTTTTTATATTGGAATGTTTTCAAAGTATTCAACATCTTTTTATTCTCTGAAATAAATTTGGCACTTCCGCTGAAACTCTATTTACAAGTTAGTTAACAATTCCTGGATTAAAAATCTACTGAAAACACAAACATCATCTCTGCTAAGATCTGAATTAAATGATCATGTGCATGCTCATTGTTTTATATCTAGGGTGGGTGCACAATACAAGAGAGTTTCAAAAAGATTGTGGGAAAAATTCCAGAAAATTTTCATCCCATTTCCCCACAAACTTTTAAAAGTTTCCCTGTGCTCACTGATGATCTCCTCTCTATAATAATTTAGTTTGGCTGTGTGCTTTACCAAGAATGGTTTCATTTTTTACATCTCTAATTTTCACTGCCATCAAATGTACCAATTCATGAATAACTATGAGGATTTAACAAAGTTTTGTTACAAATTTAAAATATATTTAATTAAAGATTCTTTCTGAAAATATTTTGAAACCTTCATTACCCTAAATCAGATCAGTAAAGGAATCTCTTTTGATATAATATTTCCATTATGATTATTATTTTAAAATATCATTTTACTGGCATATGCTTCACATATCACACGATCTAATCATTCAATCATATTAAGAAAAGTTGTGTAATCATCAGCTCAATTTCAGAACATTTTCTTCTAGTACTTATTGTTGTGAGCTCCCCATTTCCTTCCACCCTTCCCTGCCATGCTCCTAGGTAATGATTAATCCAGCTACTGTCCTGGACGTCACATACAGAAAATCATACAAAACACAAACCGGAAACAGACACACCAACTTTGACTAGATAAATCAGAAAAACCTCAATCTGAAAAGAGCAGAAAATATCCAAAACTGTAACAACTTTAAAATGGGTCAAAAGGGAGGTAGTTATGATTTGTTCTTAGCCATTTATTCATAATGGGGTCTCTACCCTCCCAACTTCTTTTGGAAAGTTCATTTTTATATGGAAAGGCAAATACTTAGTTCCTGGAGAAAGCATCCTGATTTATCAAGTGTTGTATAAAATTTCTGGCAAACTTAATACATTTGGCAACATATATCTATTTCTCGGTTTCAATGCTTCACTCTGGTATTCCCTCTCTCTACAAGCGAGCTGACGCAGCAAACGTTCTTCCCATACTTTGGGAATTTCTCCCTAAGACTGTAGGAGACAGACTGGCCTCTGAACCCTATCACAGCTACATACTCTTAGAAAAAATGACCCCTACCTTTCAGGTCAAACTCAGTCCTCACCTCAGCAGACTTCATTTTTAGCATAGTTTCTCACTTACTCTCAGTCTCAAATCTTTGTAGGTATTTCAACACTGTTATTCTCTAGCCCATGAAGTGAGGATCTGACTTTAGCCCACTCCTATTTATTTTCTTTGTGTTGTTTGTTTCTTTTTAATTTTTAAAAATCATTTTATTGGGGCCTCTTACAACTCTTATCACAACCCATACATACATCCATTGCATAAAGCACATTTGTACATTCGTTACCCTCATTATTCTCAAAACATTTGCTCTCCACTTAAGCCGCTGGCATCAGCTCCTCATTTTTTCCCCTCCCTCCCCGGCCCCCCTTCCCTCATAAGCCCTTGATAATTTATACATTATTATTTTGTCATATCTTACTCTGTCTGACGTCTCTCTTCATCCACTTTTCTGTTGTCCATCCCCCAGGGAGGAGGTTATATGTAGATCCCTGTAATCGGTTCTCCCTTTCTATCCCACCTTCCCTCCACCCTCCCGGTATTGCCTCTCTCACCACTGGTCCTGAAGGGATCATCCGCCCTGGATTCCCTGTGTTTCCAGTTCCTATCTGTACCAGTGTACACCCTCTGGTCTAGCCAGATTTGTAAGGTAGAATTGGGATCATGATAGTGGGGTGGGGGTAATGGGAGAGGAAGCATTTAGGAACTAGAGGAAAGTTGTAACTGCAACCCACTCCTTAAGGGATCTGATCAATGTTGTTTGATGTTAGGTCAAAACATCTCGCACCGGTCTTTTTATTCTGGTGTGTGTGTGTGTGTGTGTGTGTGTGTGTGTGTGTGTGTGTGTTTTGGATCGGGACTTTGTTCGTGTACCAAATGTCATGGGACAATGTTTTCAGCGTGAATGAAGCTATAACCAGTAAAATATAATATTTTCTACGTAAATGGAGCTATGGCTAAACAGCCCCCCTACACACACACACACACACACACACACTTAGTATACCCCAGGCATGCTAGTACAGGAGAAATAATTCCTACACACACACACATTTAGTATACCCCAGGCATGCTAGTACAGGAGAAATAATTCCTACACATGTAAAACAACAATACAGAGGCTGCTCCAACTTAGAGCAGCTACATGTATCCATAAGGAAATGTGGTCACTCTTCAGTTTCTGATTGTTAATAGGACAGAAGACCCAATAAGTATGTGTGAGTTAAGAAAAGGGCGTTGGTAAGATTTCAGATGCTCATTTCAGCCTCGGACGCCACCAGCACCCACCCCCTGTGTGGTCAAACTAGCTACCTCACCACCCCCTCACATTCGGAAAGGCCCCGTTTTGGAAAAGCGGCTTTGAGTTCAGCTTCTAGCTTCTCTGGCGAGGGAGGGTCGGGGCCATGGGTTAGGAACCTCTCTTTAACCTGCAACGTGTGGCTTTATCCCTGTCGGAATCATCGATGTCCAGAATTCTCCCTAGTTTCCTTGATCGTCACCGACCTCTGAGGACCCCGTCTTCCCGCCTCCTAAGGTTTGGGTTTCCTCACCTTGGTCAGTTTTCTGGTTGCTGGGTAGGCTCGGAAAATAGATTTGAGAGGAGCTCAGCTTCGCTCTGTTGCCTTGGTAACAACTTTGTTTCATCCCCGCCCCCCACTCCCCGATTCCTACCTCCGGGTTCCCGCTTGACTTTCCCGACCAATCAAAGGAGAGGCTCCTTTGAAGCCACATCGGAATCCACCAATCTAAGCGCATCCCAGTCCAGGGCAATGGCTGCCCTTTCCAGTTAAGTAGGTCGACCCCATTTGAGGCTCCGAGTGGGTTCCTAGCGCACCAGCAGTGACTTGCTCTTCCCGGGCGGCTGGTTCTTTCCTGCGTTCGTCAGCTCCTACCGGTTTCGGGCGGCTCCGCAGCCTCGGCGGCCCAACCGTCGCTCCGGGACCGGAGAGCGAGCCCGCGCAGCTGCCACTAAGGTAAGTTTGTAAGGCGTGCGCTGGTCCTGGCCATTTGCAGGCTCCGATCTTCCTCCTGCTCCCCGCGCCTGAAGGGGAATTTCAGTTTGGGGACTCCGCCGGCAGTCTGGGAAGTTCGGCGCCGGGACCAGGAGATAGAGACCCTTTGATTAACACTGGATGTGCGCGCTGCTCCTCGCGAAAGCGACCTGGGTTGAAGTTCCATCGGGGGTCTGTGTGCGTGCGTGCGTGCGTGTGTTGGATCGATCTTTTTAATTTTGTGCGCGCGAGAGAGGAATTAAAGTTGGAGAGTTGGATCGGTGTTCTTCTCGGCTGAGAGAGCGAGCCTTCCAAGAACATCGCATGGTCCGGTGTCCTGCTTTTCCTGCCTTGGAGCTGAGAAATGCCTGTGTACCATCCTCTTCCCACTACTTGGGAATCGGAGTGTCTTCACAGTTGGTGCCGTGGTTAAGCGCTGAGCTACTAACCACGCTCGCAGACACCCACTCCACTGAGGAAAGATGTGGCAGTCTATTTTCTTTCCTTTTTTTTTTTTTAGCAGTCTATTTTCATAAAGATTCTCACAACCATATTCACTACCATCATGTCGATTCCGACTCGTAGCGACCCTACAGGACAGGAGAGAACGGGCCTCGCGAGTTTCGGAGATGGTTACCTTTATGTATATGTATATGTATATGCTGTTAACTTTATATATATATATATATATAATCATTTTATTGGGGGCTCTTACAGCTCTTATAACGCTTGTATCAAGCACATTTGTACATGTTGACATCATCATTCTCAAAACATTTTCTTTCTACTTGAGCCCTTGTTATCTGACTGTTAACTTTTTCTAAAAGTAAAAAGCTTTGTCTTTCTCCTACGGAGGCGCTGGAGATTTCAAGCTGCTGACCTTGTGCGGACTCAAATGTAACCAGTATGCCACCAAGGCTCTTTTACAAAGATTACAGTCATACAAACTGAGCCTGACCTGTAAGGTAACTCGCTGTCTCTCCTTCACTCACTCACCAACACCAGCACCACCTCACTTACTCACTCAATCTCTCTCTCTCTCTCACTCACTCACTCTCACTCACTCACTCACTCACTCACTCACTCACTC